TTCCTGCACTCCTGCATCACCAGCGCCCCCAGGGGGAACAGGGTGCCTTCCCAGAAGCAAGGGCATTCCGCCGGATCAATGCAGCGCCCACCTGGCAGGAAGACAAGGAAGGGAGCCCGAGGGTGGCGGAGTGGCGGGGCAGCAGAGGACTTCCGCCTGCACGAGAGGGGCATCGTGTCTATCCGTGGGGGGGGGACTTCCCTCCTGAAGAGGAGTCCTCGGTCAGTCACCAACCCTGCTTGTCTTCTATATGTTCGGCCAGCAGGTTTGGAAGACCCACCACCCTAATTAAGGCTGGAGGCTAAGCATCCCACAACTGGGGGGGGGTCTTCAGCCTGAGCTAGCCATGCCCCCTCCACCAAGCCTTCCTTGCACTGCAAGGTCCCATCCCGAGAACTTGCGGGAATGGAACCACGGTCCCCCAGCCTCAGCCTTCTCTGCCGCAGCCCCAAGGAAGGTGCTCCGTGCCCCCCCATCCTCAGTTCCCCGGCTCTGCACCCAAGAACCTGGCAGCTCTGCCCTCCGCTCCCTGATCTCACCGTGCAGGACTTTCCCCTCCGGGCAGAAGCACCCTTCCACGCAGGAAGCCGCCTCCATGGGGCAGTGCTCGGATGGCTCCAGGCCGAAGTTCTGGCAGGTCTGCGGGCAGGCCGGGCCGCAGGGGTCGTACTCCATCCCGTGGTCACACTGCAGGGCTGAGCAAGGGAGGAGGCGGGTGGGTGAGTGGGCGGGTGGGGCAAAGCCCGGGCCAGGTCCGCGAGGGGACTCCCCTTCAGCCCTGCAGCTTGCCCCCAGGCATCCCTCATCCCCAACCCCAGGGGAATGCCAGTCTTGTCAACCCCAGGCTAAATGCCAGATCGTAATGCCTTTTCCCTGCAGGAGGTCAGTGGGTGAAAAGCACAAGCTTTGGCATAACCTCTGAACTGGGGTTTCTGGGGCCTTTTGCCCGGTGCTGGGGAGTCAGTGAGGCTGGGGATCCAAGGGCTTGGGGGCTTCTTGGGGCCATCAGGCAAATGGTGAGAACTGAGTGATTTGCTTCAGTCACGTGATGCAGCTGGTGCAAATCACACAAGACGTGACACTTGCACACCCCTGTTACAACACTGCCATGATGTCACAACGCTGAGTGACGCTCTTGCAGCTTGTGACGGACGCGGCGCCCGCTCCTCCTGCACCTGGGTGTGGGGGGAGCAGGGAGGCTGGGGCAGCTGACCAGGGAGGGACCCTGGGCCAGCCGGCGGGCCTCAAGGGCTGACGCCGGGGGCTCCCCCTTCGCCCTTCGGGGACGTTGGGGCAGTGGGCATTCTGCCTTGGCCGCCGGGGCCTTTTGGTTATGCCGAAAGGAGGTCCGTCGGGGTGGTCCTCTGAGCAGAGAGGCTTCTGGGGAAGGCTGGCCTCGCCGGGGGCCACCCAGGGGAGGGCCCCTTCCTTCACGGCCTCCCCCGAAGCTTACGGCAGAGCTCCTGGCTCCTCCAGCGTACGGAGACCCCCCGCTGGCTGCACTCCTCCGCGTAGGTGGCAATGGCCGTGCAGAGGCACTCACAGTCGCCGCCAGAGTCGCACCTGAGGGAAGAGGCGGAGGAGGAAGATCAGCCGGGCGGGCGGCAGAGGGTCACCCCACGCGGGCAGCCGAAGGGAAGTCACCAGGTTATGCCAAGGCCCAGCGGTGAGTTTCCACAGCACTCCAAGTTTGGTTAAACCTGGTTAGTTTTTTGGGTCGCGGCATGATGCGTCAAGCAAGTTCATTTGATTAGTTTATGGAGCTAATAAGCTTTTGCAAACTCAAAATAGAGGTTCATGTGATGGGTGAACACGGCCCAATTATTTCCAGTGAACAGCGGAGCCAGGAACCCTCTAAAGTTCAAGGAGCGGTTGGGAAACCTCCCACCACAGGGACCTCCAACGCTTCGGCTGAGAACCTGGGGCTTTCTGCACTGAGCGATCCATCTCCAACCTCCTTAGGGGCCTCTAGGACCAACCTGGTGACGAAGTTTCTCTGGGCTGATACAAAACAACACATCTGACACATGCACCAAGCCCAGGGGTCTCGCCGCAGCGAGGGACAAAAAAACACGCAGGTGGCATTGCGCTCAGTGGGACAAGAGCTTCAATGGCGGCCTCTGACAACAATGGAAAAGGCGTTTCCTTTCTGCCCGGGGTTAGCCAGGAAGGAAGGCCCATCGCCTCCCATCGGTGCCAAGGGGGGTGGCTGGGGCGCAGGAGCTTCAGTAGGCACGCAGAGGCATCTGTGTGGGGTGGGGCACCTTTTTCTCTTCCCTTACACAGGCAGCTGCCCCAGCCCCTCTTCCTGGCAGGGCTTAAGGGCCAGGAGAGCTCTGCCCACTGTCCCTATCTGTCACACAGCCCTCCCCAGTCCACACTCATTTACCCGCAGGCGTCGAAGACACACCACTCATAGAACTGCTGGCAGGGCAGCTCCTCACGGCAGGGGGCAAAGAGATCCTGGAGGAGGATCCCACAGCGCTTCCGGGCCCACGTCGCACGGTGGGAATTCACCTGGGGAGAAGAGGCGAGGGGCTGTGAGTACGCCCACGTGCCCTCCCCAGAACTGCAACCACTCAGAGTCCCTCCAGACAACGGGAGCACGCTTTCATCCAGTCCTGGCGGTGAGTGAGTTTTTTCCCCATTGGTACAATATGGGACAACCGGAAACTGAGACGGGCACGGGGCAGGCCGTACCGTGCAGGGATGCTCAAAGTCCTCGGCGTTGGCTTCAGGACACAGGAGGCTGACGCGCCAGGAGTTGCCGAAAAGGTCAGCTGTGGGCTCCACGATGCCTTGCTGGCTGGAGAAATCATTCTCCGCGTCGCCATCAAAGTTCCCGCACAGTCCTGCCACCCGGCCTTGGTACCTGGCTTCCAGCTTGATGTACACCCGCGTGCCTGGGGAGGCAGGCGCAGGGTGAGGCGCTGAGGCCCAGCCGCCCAACCCGGCGAGGGAGTGGCTTCTTTCGAGGCTCCCACCCGGGCGTGGGATCCTGCGCTGTCCTGAGACAATTTGCTCCAGCTTCGTTGTTGCAAGAAGCGTCGAATATCAGCAACAAACGAGGCCCGCCAGCCGAGCGCAAGAGGCGAGCTTCTCGCCATGCAGTGGGGGAAGGGGGTCTGTGGAGACCTTTGGGGGAATGTGAAGGCTGTGGCTACTTCAAGACCCGGCACTCAGGAGCTGTGTTTGCACAACCTGGTCCAGGGGCTGCCTTCACACCTGTGATGCGAGCCAAGCTGGTACCTTGATCAATCCCAGTACGGCTTCGCGTGTGCAGCCAGACTGGATGCATTGTGCAGACCCAGCCAGACAGCAGGTGTTGTGTGTTGAGTGAATGCAGAGGTGGGCAACCCTGAGATATTCCTCAGGAACTGGGAGACCCGCAAAAGAAGGGATTTATGGGGCCCCAGCTGGGTTCCTGTATTAAGACTAGGTCTGGGGTTCAAGGTGTGGGGCTCCTCCCTGGCTAGGAATGGAGCATGGGCCTCTTGGCCAGCCTCACCTCCGTCCCAGAGCACCGTCAGCCCCAGCTGAGAGAGGAGGACCAGAAAGAGCCCGGCCCTCTCCAGCGTCAGGCCGTTCCCACTGTAGGTCTTGGGGGGCCGCACCGAGACTCCGTTCACCGTCACGTCCTTCCCTAGCACAAGCAGAGAGAGGGGGGTGGGAAGGGTGCAAAGCTGCTGGGGTCCTGGCCTCCTCTCGTCCCCGAGAGCACCCTACCTCGGAGCAGGTGGACGGTCATGCCGCCCATCAGCACCGCCACGGATTTGGTGCAGGTGGTGCCGCTGGTGCCGCAGGGGACGTTCTCGGCTGTCACAGTGAAGGCGCCACTGGTCTCGCGGAGCAGGAGGTACTCGCAGTCCCCCAGGAAAGTGTAGGCCCGCCCGTCGAAGGTGATGTAGTGGGGGTCTCCCGTGGCGACGCACGTCCCGGCACAGAGGCGGCGGCTGCACTCCCAGCGCTGCCTCCTGCAAACGCTGGAGGGAGAGGGACCGTGAGCCCCGCGCCCCTGCTCCGTGGGGCGACACCCCTCCCAGTCTCCACGGCAGGCCAGAGCCAGCGGGTCCTCACCAGGTGTTGCAGTCCTTGGTGATGGTCTCGCTGGGCTGGTAGAGGCGGCCGTTGTGGTGGCAGGGGCATTGCTCTGGGGAGACGCAGCGCTCGTTCTGCAAGAGGGGAGAGGGCGCGCGATGGAGAGGCCCACCTTGGTTGCCCTGCAGAGGCCCCGCCTGGCTAGGGAGGGAAAGCTGGCCTGCTCCTCTGGGGTCAGCTCAAGGACCAGCGGTGCAAGGCCTCTGAGTAACCCGGCTGTCCCCCAGCTGAGTGCGACCATCTCCCATGCCAACCGGGGGGCCAGCACCTCACAGGGCCCCAGGCTGAAGAAGATCCTCTACCCAGGTGTGCATCAGGTGCAAGACCTTCTCCCTGGAGGGCCGTCTGAGGGTGGCACTCTTTCTTGAAACATCCCATTAAATTCCAACCCGAGAGACTGACTGCATGCACAGATCCTTCTGTTATGATCCCTGCCCACCCCCAATAACATTACAGGGATTGAGCTCCATTATAGCTTTACTGAAGCCAGGAAAGCAGGTAACAGACTCCGAGATGTGGGAGACCCCAGGGGATCCACACCACTCTCTCCAGCGGGGGAGGCGGACGGTCGGTGCTTCCAAATGTCTCCGTCCACAGCATTAATGGCATTTTGGGGCTGCCCAGGCTCACCAGGAAGACGGTGCCGGGGGGGCAGACGCAGCCATCGGAGGAGCCAGCACAGCTGAGGCTGCTCTGGAGGCTCTCGCAGGTGAGGAGGCAAGAGTCGAAGGCGTAGACCAGCTGCCCAGGACAAAGCACCGCTCTGGGACAGCTCTCCTCCGTGCAGTTCCAGGCCCCATTCAGACAGACACTGAAACACAGGTCGCGGGGGTGAACAAGCTCCTTTCCTCTGGCCACGCAGGAACCCCCTCGGGCGCTTGGAGATCCACTCGCCCCACCTCCCCGACTCGGCCAGCCAAGGGGGCTTCTCTGGATCGGGGGCAAACAAGCAACCGCGACAGAGCTTGGCACCCATGTGCTTCCTGGGCCTCGGCACGCTGGTCTGAGGCCCACAGCTGAGCCTCCACAACTGCCCTATCCCAAGTGGCGTCCGCCTGATGGCCTCCCCAGGCACCCATGTCCATCCCCTTGGTCCGCCGGAGGCCCCCAGCTTCCCAGCCACCGTCCACCAGGGCCGGTCCCGAATGGCAGGAGCGCTCCGTCGACAAGAGCGAGGCAGCCGGAATCACGTGGCAGAGACATTCAATGAAATCAACCTATCCTGTGGGATAGACATAGACAGGTCACAGGGTGATTTCATCAAACATCTCTTACCACTCCACCAAACCACACGAACCGGACAGCGCGGGGGGTGCACGGTGTGTGGCTGCGTGCAAGTAGGCAAGGACACAAACCCGTAGATACTGGTTGCAGCCCTGTTGCCAAAAACTTTTCTCTAGGGAAGATTGGACGTAGAAGGTAATATCTGTGGCGTCCTTGGGGCTCTCCAAGCTTGGCTGTTTTCTTGCAAACGTTTCATCACCTGGCTGGGTAACATCTTCAGTGCGTGAAACGTTCGCAAGAAAAGAGCCAAGCTCGGAGAGCCCCAAGGACGCCATGGTTCAACCCTGAGCCACACATATTCACTTCTAAAGGTAATATCTTTCTGGTCCTGAAATGTTGGGGTGATCTATCGATCAAGGGCCTGACCTAAGGGGCTGCAGCAGCTGCTGGGAGGAAGCTCAGCCAGAGCAATGGAAGCCTGGCTTGGAGGAGGAGGAGGGTGACCACCACCATCACACAGCTAGGAAGGCAGTTTCACTGTTTCTAGATGGGCTACTGACTGCTCCGTGCCAAGTCCAGAAAACAGGCTGCACAGAACGAACTCGGGTGAAGCAGGATCTCAGAGGTCCCTTCTGGCTGCAGGATCCCAAGAAAATCTATTTCTGCATTTATACACGAAAGGGATTCTGCACCCTGCCACTTACCACATCTGCTTCAGAGCCGCACAGAAGAGCTTTCTGAAGATGTATCCCCTTCTCAGCCCACAAGGGTCTCCAGGCAGACAGAAGCACTAGAAACTTACTTTCTATAAAGCTGACCTCCTGCACGTGACCTTCCAAAACACTTTCTGGCCCATGGCCCTGACTGGAACCTACCAGCTGTTGCAGCTCTTCTGGATCTTGCTGCCGGGCTGGTGGGCCTCCTCCCGGTGCATGCAGGGACACATGGCTGGCTGGACACACTGCCCTTCGTGGTCCAGCGCCAGCCCTTCCGGGCAGTTGCATCCAGCCACACAGACAGGGTGGAGATCCTCGCAGACGCCAAACTCCTCCACAGGCAGGTCAGTGCAAGTCTTTCCACAGGGGGTGGCACATTCTTGATAGACCTGACCCCCGGAGCACTGCACCGCTACGGAGAAAGAGGGAAAGCCATGGCCTGTGGATTCCAGCCAGGCTCTCCCTGAACATTCACAAAGGGCTGGCTGCAAATATATTCTGTTGCAAGGGGCTGAGCCTGGCCAGGGGGCAGGACTGGATCTCCAAAGGGGGGCTGGGTTGGCTCATGCTTGGAAGATAGACTGCCATGAAATCCCAGGGCTCCAAGCTCAACTGGGAGGGGGGGAAAGGCAGCGAGGGTGGGGGCAAAAGGCATCTATGCTGTTGCCAAGAAGACCACACAGGCATCTCCAGGGGGTTCCCAGGAGCTAAGCCCAGCCCAAAGAGAGTGAATGCTTCCAGGCTCTCCTGACCCTTTACGGCCTAGGACCCTCGGGCGGGGGGGCTTCCAACATCCACCCCCCCAACGGCAGGTATGACGATCTGTGGACCCCACAAGCGAAAGACCAATGCCGGCTTCTGAGCACCTTCCAGCAGTGTGGATTCAGTTGACACCAGCCCTTGAATCAGTCCCCACCACAAGTGTTGTAAGACTGATTGATTGATTGATTGATTGATTGATTGATTGATTGATTGATTCCATCTATATACTGCTCAACTCCTAGTGACCCAGGGTGACCAATTAATCACTAATTCCTCTGGCACCATTTCGGGGCAGCATACCCCTTTCCTCGGCCAAGCACTCATGAAGAAGTCAGCCTGGCCACCTTCTTCCCCTTGGCCCCTCCTTGCCTCCCCCACCTCCCACCCTCCCTTTGCCCAGGCTGAGCTTGCCCTGGGAGCGGTGCTCTGGGCCTGAGGGCACCCAGGAACCCAGCCAGTGCCTGTGCAGATGGTGGGAACCGGGCCAACCCCTCAAGCCGGCATAGGGGGATTGGGGTTCTGTCCGTGCCTTGGTGAGCCCCACCGGATTTCCTCTTGCTCTTCGACAGATGGCTCCTCCTGGTGCCCACACCCTTCCTCCCGGGCCAGAGCAACACCCCAGGAAACTTACGGCAGAAGCTCTGATTCCTCCAGGACACAAGGGCGCCCTCCTGGGCACACTGCCGGGCATAGGCAGCCAGGGCACCACACAGGCAGTCCTCCTCGGCTGAACAGCTGCACACGTCCTCCAGACAAAGCTGGTAGAAAGGTTCTCGCTCCACCAGGTCATGGCAGGGCTGGCGGGGCGGGGGCAGGGAAGAGAAATTGGTGACTCTTGAGCAAGTTCCTGGATCGCCCATCTGAGCCGATTTACTTGGTGAGGTGGCCGCGTGGTTTACGTGCTATGCTGACTGTCGCACGTGGGCTTAACGCTTCCACTCCATTGCTCGGAATCACATCCTACCCCCTCCAGCACAGGGTTTCTCAACCTCCGCAGCTTTGAGGGGCATGGACTCAACTCCCAGCATGCTGGCTGGGGAATTCTGGGAGTTGAAGTCCACTGGCATCTTAAAGTGGCCGAGGTTGAGAAACCCTGGGCTGGAGTGTTTCCATGGGGACCATTCTGCCTCTCGGGTCTTCTAACTTAGGGCCGCTAGAAGAACCTCAGGACCTTCCTTTCTGATCGCCGCACCAGGCTTCTAGCAGGGGTGTCCACACGCGCACGCGCACGGTACGCGTAAGGCAGCAGAACCAGTTCCAAAACTGCTCCTCCCTTGCTAGAACAAGCAAGCATCTCTTGGACGCCAGGATGATGTCAAGCGCCCCAGGACGTCACTGAGCAAACTGTGTGAATGGTGCGCTTTGCATCTTTTGGGCGATGATATCATGGCACACGTGACACCACTGGCCCACCCCAGACACCCAGGCCACAGGTGTCCATGGGGGGCAAGGGAGGACGGGTCATCGCCACATACAATGGCCAACTTACGTGCTCGTGTCCAGCGCTGGGCACGGGCAAGTAAGGCCAGGACTTGTGTGATGATGTCATGAATCGCATTTTGTCATTTTCATGTCATCGTGATTTGCGGGGGATGCCGTGGCTCTTTTGGTTGGCAAACGCCTCGAGAAGGAAGGCTTGCTGGAAGGTTTCAGGGCAACGCAGCAGGCCGGGGCGGGGACCCTCACCCCGGGGATAGCGTGAACCTGAGCTTGGAGGTGTGCCCGTAAATACAAGGGGAGAAAGAGGAAGCGAAGCGACCACCCGCCTTTTCTAAATCAATCATTTTGCCTGTGCCCAACCTCTGAACATTCAGCCTCATAGAAAGGTAGCTTGAAAAGGAACGGAACTCCAAGCCCCGGGAATGCCTTCTGTTTTGGATCCAAAGGGCAGGAAGCAGGGCGTGGGGTGGCCTGTCGGGGAGGGGGCAA